ATACATGAACAAACACACATATACATGAACAAACACACATATACATGAACAAACACACATATACATGAACAAACACACATATACATGAACAAACACACATATACATGAACAAACACACATATACATGTACAAACACACATATACATGTACAAACACACATACACATGAACAAACGCACATATACATGAACAAACACACATATACATGAACAAACGCACATATGCAAACACACATATACATATACAAACGCACATATACATGTACAAACACACATATACAAACACACATGTACATATACAAACACACATGCAAAAATACACGCATGCACATATACAAATACGCATGAACACATCTGCAACAGCCTGCCCACCCCTCAATCCTTTCATGAGATCTCGAACTCTTTTCAGGCAGGGGAGAGCAGAGAAAGAGGCAAAGTGGTGTTGACAGCAGTCCTCAGCACGCCACGCAGACAAAACAACAACAAGCGCAGCAAGAGCAAGAAGCTAATTTTTTGCAGATTACGAGAGCAAACCAACCCACGTTTTCCTGAGGTGTCTGTGTCTTCCTGCACAACAGACTCAGTTCCATAAGAGCCATCCGCGAGGATAACTGTGCGTGTTTGCACTTGGGGCTGTTGCTGCATGCCGGCAGGTGTGGCTGCCAAGTCTTCAGGAGCGGTGGCCGCTGATGCAGACGCATGCAACAAAGAGCAGTGTGCAGACTCCAAATCGTTGAAAACACATTCAGCAGGAGCGGCAGAAGACAAAAAGAGCGTAGAGCACCAGGAAAGGGGGAGGAGGAGAGAGACACCACATTTGCAAACAGACGGAAGGCGACTTCTTACTGTCGAGGGGCAAGGGAACGAGGGCGTCATATATGGCGTTGATGATTGACACTGTCGCATCCAGTGCGAGACAGCATTCTCCAAGCGTCCAAATGCAGATTCTCAAAACTCTGCGAAGCATGCGAGAAGGAGAGAGAGAAATAGTGCGCGCGATTTAACGCCAGCCCTCATCAGAAGGCCGCGCGCATGCGATACTAGGGTATTATATAGTTATAGATATATATTTATTTCCCTCAACAACCAAATTCTTGCTGCAGTCGCTTCGCGTGCTGCACTGGCAAGCCCTTGCGCTTTTAACACCTCGCAGCAGCGAGCAGTAAGCAGCATGAAGGCTGTAAGCAGGGAGTAGCAAGCAGTGCCACCAGCGAGGGAGGAAGAAGGGCGAACAAGGAGCAGAAAAGAGTTCCTCTCTGCACTCCTCTCCTCTCTCCCTCCTGCTTCCCCTGAGACTCCCGAAAGAAGCAGTGAGACACCACGCATGCAGCCCCAGCTAGCAGAGTATGTGTGTTTGTGTGCAGCAATACTTCGGATGTCGAGCGTCCATAATTGCATCCACGATATGCCGGATTATGCTGTCTCTGAGGCTCAGCTCGGTGGCTGCTAATCTACGTAAAAGCTGAGCAGCACTGGTGGCAACGCGTGCATCGGCATCCCCCAGAAGATCAGATATACACCCCAGCGAGGAAGACATGACTTGCGGATGGATCTCGCAGCAGCGAGACTGCGAAATTACACAAAACACCACAAGGGTGAAAAAGGCGCTGAGACATGCGCGCTGCTGTGCGGCAGCAGACGCAAAACAGCGATTTTTCACACCCTCAAGCAGCGAACCGCCTCTCCGCCTTTCCTGTTTCTTCTCCTTCATCCCTCAACAAACACGCACTGTGATTTGTCGAGAGACACGTTCGCATGCATGCATGCACAGAGACGCAGGCAGGGGAGGAAATGGGGGGAAGAGGGAAAAAGGGCAGCTGCCCAGCCGGCGAAAAAGCACAAACACTGCACTCTGTATGTAAAGCATGCATGTATGCATGCATGCACGCGAAAGAGGAAACATGCACACTGGGGCTTTTTCTAGGAGCGTGTAAAGGGAACGGCTGCTGGGGGTGTGCAACATCACGAGAAATAAAACCACGAAAAGTCACCAGCCTCCAGGAGAGCGGCAGCGTCAAGCGGCCTCTAACACAGGAAGCACATGGAGAATTTAAGGCGTGTTTCGCAGCTGTCTATCTGTCTCACTATGTATACATATATATCTGACTGTCTTTCTTACTGTGTGTGTGTGTGTGTGTGTGTCTAACTGCCTATCTGCCTGCCTCTCTGTCTTTCTCACTGTGTGTGTGTATGCGTGTGTGTCTAACTGCCTATCTGCCTGCCTCTCTGTCTTTCTCACTGTGTGTGTGTATGTGTGTGGGTCTAACTGCCTATCTAACTGCCTATCTAACTGCCTATCTGCCTGCCTCTCTGTCTTTCTCACTGTGTGTGTGTATGCGTGTGGGTCTAACTGCCTATCTGCCTATCTAACTGCCTATCTGCCTGCCTCTCTGTCTTTCTCACTGTGTGTGTGTGTGTGTGTGTGTGTGTGTCTGGCTGCCTGTCTAATTGTCTGTCTAATTGTTTGTCTGCCTGCCTCTCTGTCTGTCTAACTGTCTGTGTGTGTGTGTGCTTACAAGTGCTTGCACCAACATGGCGCGATATTCGGAGGATCCAGGAGTCGTCAGTGCCTCAGCCTCTCCAGCCTTGGCAATATGTTTTTTGAGGATGCCTACAACTTGCGGCGCTGTCTCCGCAGACACCAAGCGACCTACGAGACTCAAAATGCGGCCTCTCACCTCGAGGGAGTTCGTCTGCAAACCTGTTCAAAAAACAGACAAGGGCACAGGCAATTCTGCACACATGACGTCTCTACGAGGAAAACACTGAGGCAGCAGCAGCAGCAGCAGGAAGGCAGCAGTAGCAGGAGGATAGCAGCAGCAGCAGGAGGATAGCAACATCATCATCATCAGCATCATCATCGTTAGCAACATCATCAGCAGCAGCAACATCAGCACAAGTGAAGTCCTTTGGTACTCCTCGCCACACGATGCAAGAAACGGCAAGAATGAGCATGCATGCATCGGGGAATGTTTGCATGCACACCCCCACACACCTCTCATGAGGTCGACGACATAGTCGCACAAGTTGCCTTTCTTTGCAGCCGTGACACAGTCGGCAACCCTGTCAAGCATGATGAGCTTGATGTTGTTTTCTGTTTGTTGCAAAAGGAGGTGAGTCAGTGCGCCACACGCTGCGCGCACGCCAGCGCTGCTTGGATTAAAGGCGAGAACACACGAGGCTCCCTCGTAAGCCACCGAGGGAGATGCAGAATTCAGCAGGGAAACAGCTACGCGAAGCAAGGCAGCCTGCGCAGCAATTCATGCGCAAACGCATGCAAAAAAGAAAAACATTTTAAGCTGCCGCGCGCATCTTCTAGGCAACAGCCTAGTAAGTCCCCGGCAGCACAAATACACACACATATATATACTGTACACGCAGCTTTAGAATACACATGCATAAATAAACACTAGAAAGCAGCTATATATATAGATAGACACAAAATACACACATGTACATGTACATATATATATATACATGTACATGTATATATTCACGGAGTCCTCTTCAACACATCAGCGGCAGCAAGGCTTTTAAGAGATAAACTCAAGCATATATATATACACACCTTTGCAGGCAATTTGAGACGGCAAACTTTTCTAACAAGCTCCAAGATAGCCAGCTGCATCTGCTCCCCCATGGCTAACAGAGCTGCCTCATCGCCATCAGCTCCTTGTTGCTGTTGCTGCTGCTGAATGTACAGCAAAGCACGTTTCGTATCGCAGTGTAGCAGTAGCAGGAAGGCGGCACGGCGTGTGCTGGCATCCCCTTCCTGAGTACCAAGAGCAGGTTCGACACGCAAAAAGATAGTGTATATATATATATATATATATATATATATATATACGTATGTGTGTGTGTATGTCTACGTGTATATATATGTATGTGTATATACATACATATATTTATATATCTGTATATACATACATGCATATATATATATATATATATGTGTATACAGATATATATACACATATATGGCGATTGCGACGTCCGTATAGCCACAGCAACCCCCCTGCAAACGTTTCACGCGAGCACCTCCTCGTTTGAAGAGTTTCTTTCCCCGCCTTCTAAGACCATCCAAAAAGCTGCAGGGTGTGACAGCTGCATAAACGCTTCAAGACAGCGGCGTTTTTCGTATGTCCAGCAGCGACGCAGCAAGCAAAGCAACGGCGGAGGAAACTCCACAGCAGCCAAAAAACAACAGCAGCAAGTGCTGCTGCAACAGCCCAACACACCATGAGAAGAAGCTGATCGACTTGCTCAAGGGCATGAGGAACAAATTCCAGTCCAAAATGCCGAATCAATGCCAACACGCACAGCACCGCGTTGCGGCGAACGTAACTGTGGCGATGTGTCTGATCACACACACACACACCACAAAAACAAAGCCCCAAAACCTCTTACTGCCTGCGCCCATATCCGTGACACTGGCGACGGTCCAAGACGCGATATACACAAACAAAAACACACCTCCACACATACCTATACACATACACATATATACATGTATAGGTTTCATATATATACATATATATGCACATATACACATGCACAAATACATGCGCATATACACATGCACGTATGCACATATACAGATGCACATATACACATGCACATATTCACATATACACATGCACAAAAAAACATACACATATACACATGCACTCACATATATGCACATGCACACATATATACACATGCACAAATACATGCACATATGCACATGCACATATACACATGCACATATTCACATATACAGATGCACATATACACATGCACATATTCACATATACACATGCACAAATACATACACATATACACATGCACTCACATATATGCACATGCACACATATATACACATGCACAAATACATGCACATATACACATGCCCAAACAAAGCCCCAAATCCAAAGCACCCACAAGGTTCTTGATGATGGCTTCCAACAAAGGCTCCACAACTTTTTGCTGACGAATTTTTGCAACGAGGCGTAGCGCGCTGCCCCTGACGAACTCATTGGGAGATGTTAAATCATTTCTAAGGGCATTGCTGCAAATTAAGGCACACCAGCCACTAGTCCTTTGGCTTGAATCCTCCTCCTCCTTTCCAAATGCACGCGCCATAGGAGAACCCTTCACATACACGCCATTCCCCCCTCCGTACTGCACCTACTACACCCCGAACAAGCTACACCTCACCAGATGAGTATAATCTCTTCCTTGAGCTTCCCCTGAGCATCGCACTTGTCTACGACCTCTAGATATAAAAGGACGAGTTTCTTCACGCGGTTGTTGCTGCACGGGATGCAAAAGCGAATTACTGGCATCAGGAGGCGCTCATAGCGTTCCCCCTGAACCAAACCTGAGTCAAGCACAAAGCGCAAGTACTCTTCGGTAGCGGTACATACAGCCGCAGAAGAAGAATACAGTGCTTCATGGTGCCCCTAATCGCACACCCCCGCGCAGGCGTAGAAAATTCGAATCATTTCCCCCCTCCCCGCCGCCCCTTCCCCGTGCTTACCAGTGATTAGCTCCTGCATGCCTTCGGCCTTTAGTTCATCGTGGGGGCTTTCAAGCTTCTTCTGAATATCCGCAGCGGACGGTGCATCCCCCTTGCCGCCTGCAATGAAAACGGTGCAGTTGCTGCCGAGCTCCATCTTTGCTAGGCTGCACTCTGTCAACGGCGCGCATCCGGGAGATGCATGCACAGGCAGGCACCAGCTGGACAGAGAGAGAGACTCGCCGCTGCCTTAGAAGCAGCTTCCGCAGCTGACGAGCTGTAGGCAGAGGGATTCGTGCCTTAGGCCCGCTACAGCTGCGTGGAGACGTTCTACGGTATCAGTGCAGTCGTTGCTGCTGAAGCGGCACCCCACACGCCGGCTAGAGGGCGACACTGAGGGAAATCGGCTGCGAACAGGTGCCTATACACCTGAAACGCTGCTGTGGCGGCGGCTGCGGAGGTTGCCGCGGCAGACAGAGAGAGAGAAAGAGGCCCCCTGTCTGCAGCAGCAGAAGAATGCAAATGCAACGGGACGCGCGACGGCCCCCGAAAAGAGTAAATACAGAGTTCTAAATGCACTGGTAGGGTTTGGGGTCGAGAGCTCTGGATTCCGCTGTCCAGACACCTCAGGGACTGCGACTCAAACATGACCAGCCGCGCATGGCGAGGAGCGCAAGCGGCAGCCCCATTCGCCTGGAGGTAGTATCACAGAGGGAATTGCAATGGAATCGTAGCTAAAACGCCATTGTTCGATTTTTACAAAGTCTCGAGCGCTTTTCTGTAACTCGCTGGATTCTTGCTCTGGTTTCGGTGTACAGGCAACTCCGTGCAAGTCCCGGGCAGCCGCGGCAAGCGGCGTCTATTCACGAGCCTCTGTGTTGCTGCAATGAGTCCATACGTGCACTGCCACAGGAGGCCCCTCAGGGTATCCATTCAGCTTTCTACTGCACATACACCCGGCGAGCGCCGCTTACTTCCCCGGACACATCGTAATCCTGCGCGGCGCAAGGGCTCTCAAGCAGTGCCATTTGACGCATACAGAGCAGGAGCTGATTCCTGAATAGTACACCCTACTTGCCTAGGCGTGACACTCCAACATACTAAAGCTCCACATATCAGTGGCATTTGCGCGACGAAGTCGAAGTAGTAGCTGCCTGGTGTTGCGAAAAGAGCCCTTGCATGCTTGCCGTCAAGCTTGCGATGGGATTATCGACGTATTTGGCCTACGCACACGATTGTGCATGCATAAACACAATGCCACTGGGCAGTTTCAGCTACCCTGAGCTCCGAGAAGGCACGGCCAACAGCGTAGATGGCTGCCAGTGTAACGGGCTAAGCTGCGCCCCAGCACCTTTTACTACTCAAGTCCTAGTTAGCTAGGAATTCGGGGGGGAGAATGGACTAACCGATTCGCTTGCTCTAATATCCTACTTACTGCAGAACGCTCTTCGTTCGAAAGATGGAGACGCAATGTCATGTGCGTGCGCCCTGCATGGTCTCTGCCAAGAGCTGTGATGGCTCGGACTGCCTAAAAAATGCAGCTACGCGCAGCCTAGATGCGCCTTTACCCTCATATAGGGAAGCGGGGTGGGTGCCGTAAGAGGAATGCGCAATTTCATTCAAAACACTTGAGGGCGTTCTATAGAGCTTGCACTGAGGCCGAAGTCAAGGGTATCCCTCTGGAGACCGTAGATGGAGCGTTGCAGCAAGCCCATGCATGGGAATGCGCATTAGATCACCGGATGCAGTTCCTTAGGCACTGAAATCTTACATCCACAGGCTATGCTATGCAGATGCAGGAACACTGATCAGAGGCCGTGACGACTGTCCAACATTTTAGCAGCCCTCGAGCATCGTTACAAAACCTCCTTTGTAGGCATCCGGAAAGTCAATTGCATCTCAAGAAAGAATACGCTTTATGTGTTCTCCTGGCTATCCCCCCTCCCCCCTCTGGCGGGTGAATAAAAACTCTAGTGACGGAGAGTTCGGCAAGCACCCGCCACCCAACACGCCTACCTACACCCCGTGGCTAGCTGGGGAGAATGGCAACGTGGACACGGTGTTGCACTGTCCGTGCTCTATCATAGTGGATTTGAACCAACTACCAGCTTACCGCGTGAGCGCCATTCGACGCTAATTCGAACGCTGCAGCTGAGACCGTTTCTAATCCCCTAATACAACGTGGACACGTATCTCTACGTAGCGGCGCCTTAGTATGTACGCTTCACCTTTGCAGCTCCAAGCAAGCGTTTTTGCATGATCACAAGAGACCTTTAAAGAGCCCGCATGCATTTGCTTTATTGCATCCAACTGCGCCACACCGAGGCCCCTTCTACTACACCAGGAATACTTACCTCGGACTTGGTAAAGCATTGACTCACTAGCTTGTTGGATATCCTTTTGGCTAAGAGGTACTCCTAGATCTAGATGTTACCTTATGTGCAATTAGCTATAAATGCGCGAACTGCCTAAAATATGCAGCAGCGCCCAGCCACGCTGTGCGTGTCGCCTCATGCAGGGCATTGTGAGGGGTGCAGGCAGGAGAAGGCGAGCTTCCTACTTAGGATCACTCGACAACTATTTCTGAAGTTTTCGTCCAGTCCGCAGTCGAGTGAGACCTAATATGGAGTGCTAATCCACTGATTCATGAGACAGCGTAACAATTGCAGCACTGCGCCCAGTAGCTCGGCCGTTTGGACGTCACGAGGGCAGGGTGTCAAGACACCCGAATGCCACGGGTTGCACGCAGCATCAGGATGTGCAGCTCCTGACGGGTTGCCGTATTCTTGCTGCTACGGTCTCCTCATGTGTGGAGGAGCGAGATTTCAACGGCCTGTCTCTCGCAAACTTCGACTGGTGAGCGTGTCCACATCCGCCTAATGGCGCCCACGTTGGATCGTGAAGTCGTCGTACGTTAAAGCTTCAATGCTGGTTCTCTGCAGCACCTCCACCTTCTCGGGAATGCTCTGCGGGCTGCCTTTTTCCCCTAGCCACTGCAACAGAGAAGCGACGGCGGAAGAAGACCCCTGAGCTTCCCCCTTCACGGTTCCTTTAGCGGTATTTAGCACGTATCCTACCAAGCCCAAACTAGCACACAAACAAATACACACAAAGACACGCGCATGCACACGCGTTCAGCAATGCGCGCACCAGAAGTGAAGAGCATCTCAACAAGGACTACAGAAAGGTGGGCTGCGCACAGCCCTTCTTGCGTTTGGAGAGGCAGGCTGCATGCGCCGCAAGAAGCTCAAGACTTACCGCTTTGCCTCCTTCTCCGTGTGTACACGGAAAAAGACTCCCTGCACCTTTCCGTAGACCTCGAAAACAACACGCTCGTACGGTTTCGCCATTTCCTTCTGTTTGTCTGTACGTCTGTTGGTCTGCTGCTGCTGCTGCCGCCTTGGTGAGAGCTTTATTTTTGCATGCGCTGATTAGTGTGGCCACGACAGCTCCCTTCTTCCTCCCCGCACCGTTACTGCTACAGTCAGCGGCAGGCTGTGACTACGCCAGTCTGAGGATCAGATGCAGTCCGCTATCGGACTCGACAACGCCACTGAGCTCCCCTACTTGTAAGGCAAAGGCTGCCGCCTCGAAGGGCTTTTGCATTTGGCCTTTGCTGAAGAAACCCAGGTCTCCTCCCCGCGCAAAGGAGCCACAGTCGCTGTGTTGCTGCGCCAGAGCGGCGAAGAGGCGCTGTTGTTCCTCCTGCTGCTGCACCTGCTGCAGCTGTTGCAGCAAACCCACGAGCTGCTGCAAAGCCTCAGCCCGAGAACGCGTTACCGCCGCCTGCGTCCTACGGCTTACCGGGTTGCGAGAGCCAGAATGCTTGATGAGGAGGTGACTGCAGCGCACGGACATGATCGAGTGTCTAGACAGCTCGGGAGAGGCAGGAGAATTGAGAGCACGCAGGCAGCACAGCCCAAAGCCGATTTCCCGGAACAACCTAGAAATAACAATGCATGTACGCACTTGCATGCGAACGGGTAGTCATTCAGGGGAGAGAGAGGCTCAAGTCGCGTAGCTGCTGCAGGAGGGGGCTGTCTGGCTGCAACGGCGCGCAGACACAGATTAACGGGAAAGCTAGGCCGTTCAGGCCTCACAGCCGGGCGCTAGACCCTAAACTGGGTAATATAATATTAAGATTGAATATTTTCGTCATTGCAATAAGCGAGTGGAAAATACAAGCGGCAGCGGGCTCCTGCGTCTGTCAGTGCCAGTGGCGTTGCTGCACTCGGCTACGCGTGTTGCATGCGTGCATGCGAGATGCAGGGGTGCCTGTGGTATGCAAGGGGGAGACTTCCAGCGAACAGGAGACGTAGGAACGCCTGCCTTCCTTTCATTAGGATTTGTCTTTGGCCAGTGCTCTAGCCCTTAAGACCTCGTACCAGGAGGGGCCGAGCACTTCTTCCCTGTGGCGCAAGCGCCAACGCCTCCCCTAGAGCGACCGCTTCTTATTCACCAAGCCTTAAGCTCCCCAACCATGCAGCAGCAGCAGCAGCAGCTTGCCCAGCTGCTGCAGCAGCTGCTGCAGCAGACGCTGCAGCCGAATCCGCACGGCGTGCAGGCTGCTGAAAGGGAGCTGGAAGGCCTCTGCAAGCAAGAAGCTTTTCCGCAGTCTCTTCTGCTTCTTCTCTTGAACCCCGCGACTGACTGCGCCATTCAGCATGCAGGTATGCGGTACGACTGCGAGCAGCAGCCACCCCTGTCAGAAGAGCCGTCAAAAGGGGAGTCGTGGTGTAGCGATGCCTGCGAGAAAAACACATGCAGCAGCAGAGTGCAGCGCGATAGCCGTAGCACTCTGCGCTGCTGCATGCTTTTATTGAACCCCACCGCTCTGTTCAACATAAGTGCAAGCCCTCGCACAAGACACCCTGAGGCAGTATGTGTGGGAAGGAACAGCTCTCCCTGCCCACCGTTTCTCTTCCTGTTTGCGTCTTTTGTGCAGCTGCGATATATCTCAAGAATTACGTTCGTCGCCTCTGGGATCTAGACGAGGCTCAGGGTGGCGTGTCTGCCGCCAACCGTTCGTTGATGAAGCAGCAGTTGCTGATCTTGCAGCAGCAGGAGACCATTCCCAAGGGTGTAGAGGCACAGGTTGCCGAGGCGCTTACTCGCATTGCAGCAACAGACTTTCCTCTCGACTGGCCTGAGCTCTTGCAGGCACTGATGCAGCAGCAGCTGCATCTGCCGCCGCAGGAGCAGCTGCATCTGCTGCCGCAGGAGCAGCAGCGGCTCCTGTTGCAGCGAGCAAGTCGCGGGCTTGCAACGCTGCATGCAGTTACGAAGAAGTATCGCCACTTGCCTCGATCCGAGGAGGTGCTCCTGCAGCTGCAGCAGATCCTCAAGGCCGTTCAGCAGCCGCTCCTCTCAGTTTACATCTTCTCCGTACAGCAGCTGCTCGCGGGAATCGCCACGCAGCAGCAGCAGCAGCAAGGCGCATCCGCAACGGCATCAACAGCAGCCGCTGCAAATCTGCACTCGGCAGTGCAGGTCGTCTTGTTGAGCTGCAAGATTTTCATCTCCCTCTCCTCAGTAGATCTTCCAGAGTACTTCGAAGATCACCTGGCTTACTTCGTCTTGGGGTTCATTCAGATCCTGCAGCTGCCGATACACTGCAGCAGCGGCGGAGGAAACAGCAGCAACAACAACCGCGCAGACGCTGTATCAGCCGCTGATGATGACGATTCAGAAGCAGGAGGTGAGCGCGTCATGATTTCCCCGTCAGGCATACTTCCTTCACCACCACCCCATCACCACGACCTCACCACCCCCCCCCATCACCACCACCCGATCACCACCAACCCCAAATGCAGCTTCAACAACGCGTTTTTTGCCCCTCTCTTTAGGACAGCACATGGCACCCCCGAGCGGCAGAAACAGCGAGTGAGTGATTGCGCTCTCTCGGCACGTAGGAATGCAAAAAAATTGTTTCCTCTCCGTGTACATACAGGCGACTTGGAGCGGCTTAAAAGCGTCATTTGCGACGCCCTGCGTCTCTACTTTTACAAATACCAAGAGGAAATTCAGCCATGGGTTTACTTCGCTGTACATGCAGGTGTGCTGCTTTGCTTCCTTTTTTCTGCCGCTGCTGCGTGAGTTGAGGAGCAGATTCTGGAGGCGAAATTCCCTGCATGTATCAAGTGGTTTGAACCCGTTTTTCGCTGCTGCTGCGATGCAGTGTGGTTCGCCGTTCGGCAGCTGGACAGCCGCACGCGGTTTGACATGCTGCTAGCAGCTGCGGCAGATTGCTTGAGCGCAGCAGCAGCAACAGAATGGGAGATGCGAACTCTTCCCGATTCGTTTGCGTCTGCGGCTGTCAGTCTGGGGTTGCCTGAGGCACAAGTGCAAGAGCTGCAGCAAAAGCGGCTTCGGGGTCCAGCCAATCCTTTCCAGGAAGAAGCGCTTCTCAGAGACATCCTCGAGGGTGTCATCGTGCCTAACATTGCGCTTCGTGATAAGGGTAAGAAAGAAACGCGTCTGTTTCTCATCTGTAGATATATATATATCTCTATATATACGTGCTTTCTATGGCCATGCTGGATTAGGGGTCTCTCTCTCGGTATGCCCCTCTCTCTCTCTCTCTCGCTGTCTCTCCGTTTGTCTCTCTCTATCTCTCTCTCTCTGTCTCTCTATCTCTCTCTCTGTCTCTCTATCTCTCTCTCTCTGTCTCTCTATCTCTCTCTCTCTGTCTCTCTATCTCTTCCTCTCTGTCTCTCTATCTCTCTCTCTCTCTTTCTTTGTTTCTCTCTCTCTCCATCCCTATTGAAGTGCACCTGCAGCTGCGATTTCTGAGAATCTACGCAAGGCTGTGGGATTTTCCTTCGACGTCAGATCTTGAGCTGCTGGAAGACTCCCCAATGGAGTTTGTGAGGCGAGACGTCGAAGGCTTCCCCGCTTGCCCACATTTGCCACGTCGCGCCTGTGTGTCGGATCTCATCAAGGGGATGTGCAGGCTGCAGCAGCAGCAGCTGCAGCAGCTGCTGCTGCAGCTCGTGCAGCAGCTCGCAGGTCAGGCGGATGCTGCGGGAGGAGGTGCAACTGAGCGAGGCGCTCGACTCGTCGATTCTGCCGTCTTTGTGATGGCTGCTGTTGCATCAAGAGCTCTACACTCCGGCGCAGCAGCGGCGGCAGCAAGCCCTACAGAATTAGCTGCCTTCTTCACAACGCATGTCGCGAGGGAGCTGCAACAGCAGCAGCAGCAAGAACGCAAGTGCTTAGCCGTTGCCGCTGCCCTCAAATTCCTCGCAACGTTCAGAGCTCAACTGCCGATTTCGTGAGGTGTTAACGTCGAGTGCTGCTGCTGCTCTTGGTGTTAGTCTCCCTGTTATTATAACTGCTTGTTAGCGGCAAGCATGCACCTCCTCCCGTCCCTCTGTTGCTGTCTCCTTGCTGTGATCGTTACTGCAACTGCTCGTTAACGGCAAGCATACACCTCCTCCACCTGCTCGTGCTGCTGCGGATGCTGTTGCTCTAAAGCCCGCCTTCCGCCGTGCTGTAGAACATGGTTCTACGTCCTCACGCGCAGTCTGTCTCCAGCAGACGTCGCATAGAGACTCTTGCCACAGGGCCGGTTGTGTCAGGTGTAGCGCAAACTTGCTGCCAGTTTTTGCTGCTGCTCGGGAGCAGTAGAGCGATGGGGAGACGTAGATCTTTGCCTCGTGGCAGCCGTCTGCCTGTGATGCTGCAGGCTGCTGTGTGAGAGTCTCCCGCTGGTGTCAGCCTTGTTGCTGTCTCCTCACGAGGCACTGAGGGCTTATGCAGCGTTTTGCATGCATCGTCTTCTTGCCTGCCGAAATTCGCAAGGGCAGCGCCTCATTGATCCGTCCTCATGTCAGCCTATCCTCCTTAAAGTGAGCTTCTCTCGTGTCTCTCAATGCGCTACGCGCATTTATAGGGTATAGCGTTCTTTGCATGCACACCTCTTCGGTGCTTTCCTTGCGTTCCTCTTCCCATGGGCTTCTCGCGACTGGGGGTTTGCTGCCTCGCTTGCTCGTTCGCTCGCCGCATTGGCAAGCCATTGGCAAGTGCTGCAAAAAACTCAGAGACAGGGAAAGCAGCAGCTCCGACCTCTATCGACGGCAGCAGCAGGGTGCCTCTATTTTGTGCGTGTGCATGTGTATATGGGAGTATGTGTATGTGTGTGCGTACATACGTGCATATTTTGTGCACGTGTGTGTATATGAGTGTGTGTCTGTGCATATGCATGTATGTGCATATGTATGTATGTGTACATGCGTGTGGATGTGTACGTGCCTTCCTCCTACTAGCCTCTCCCTGCATGCTCAGTAAGGGGCAGCGGCACTGTGTGTTTGTGTTCATGTCGCAGAGTCTCAGCTTCCTGCGGCAGTCGCTAAGTGACGTAAAGGCGCGCGAAAATGAATTTGCTGTCAAAGCCCTCGCGCGACTTTTGTTATGCCTGGGAGCAGCTGCAGCGAGCGAGTCTCTGCCGCTGCTGCAGCTGCTGCTGCAGCAAATCAAAGCAGAAGCCTCGCAACCAGGCAACCCAGTGTACTGCCACTACCTTTTTGAGTGTCTGGCTGTAATCTGTCGTCTCGCATCCGACCAGACACGAACGAACGCAGCCTCGGCAGAAGCAGGAGCCAGCTGCCTTCAGCAGCAGCACCTAGTCGAAGAGCATGTCGTGCCTGTACTATCCGTCTTGATTCAGCAAAGCCAGCACGAATTCACGCCTTACTGCTTCCAGGTGAGTCTTCCCTGCTGTCTGTACAGCAGGCACATAGGTTTCGCGCATGCGATCTTGTTCAGACTTTGCCTCAACTGCCTTCCCTCCTTTCACCCCTTTCTCTCCCCCCTTCTCCTTCCCTCTTTCTGCGCGCGCACTGCTGTCTCTATCCATGCGCGGCAGACACTGACCCCCTCCTCTCCCAAACAAAACAACAGCAGAACCGCCGCGAGACAGCAGCAACACCAACAGCAGATCATGCTTCTGCTGGTGCTGTTGCTGCTTTTTCTGTCTCGCTCTCGCTGTCTATCTCTCTCTCTGTGTGTGTGTCTATCCCTCTCTCTGTGTGTGTGTGTCTATCTCTCTCTCTCTCTGTCTATCTCTCTTCTCTCTGTCTATCTCTCTGTCTATCTCTCTGTGTATCTCTCTCTTCTCTCTGTCTATCTCTCTCTCTCTCTGCCCACCTCTCTCTCTCTGTCTACCTCTCTCTTCTCTCTGTCTATCTCTCTCTTCTCTCTGTCTCTTCTCTCGCTCTCTCATTCTCTGTCTATCTCTTCTTTTCTCTTCCTGTCTCTTAGCGTCGCGGCTGTGCGTGCCTGAGCATCGGTTGCGTGGGCTGCTTAACGTTCTGCGCCTTTTTGAAGTGTGGATTTTGCAGATCCTCGGTGTCTTGTTGGAAGGTGCCTCCCGCACGGGAACCATTGGAAGCAGTCGTCTTTATGTCGATCTTCTAGAGCACTTGCTGCAGCCACACGTCTGGGTAGCGTCTCAGGGGAATGTGCCTGCGTTGGTGCGTCTTGTAAGCGTCTTTCTGCGGCAGCTGCAGCAGCAGGGGTATCACCAGCCTCAACAGCAGCAGCAACAACAACAAATCCAGGTGCTTCTGCATGGACGCGTTGCACAGCTCCTCGAGAGAATGCAGTTCTGCATTTATCACCGAAAACTCGCAGCCGCTGGCTTCGATCTGCTCAACGCTATCTTCAGGTGAGCAGATCGAAGCCAGCGCTCGCCATCCACATGCAGACGGAGAAGGCAGTCTTGTGCACCTCTTTCTTGCTGTGTTTGTTCGCTTTCGGATGTGCTCTCGCACAGGTTCCTGCCTTTCGAAGCCTACAAGCAGCTTCTCCCCACATTGCTAACGGTGCTCCTAAAAAGAGCCCATCAGCTTCAGCAGCAGACTTTCAACGCGCATCTCTCCTTCTCCCTGCTTTTGTTCCAAGTAACAAAACCTTCCCCTGCACACTGACGTTTCGTTCGCCTCAAAAAACAAGCTTTTAAAAGCGGAGATGCCGCGCGGCTCCCCGCCTCTGTATGGCGCGAGCATCCCTGCAGCTCAAGGCTGTCCTCTATTTGGCTGCGGAAGCCTTTCTTGGATGTATGTATGTGCAGGCTTCTCTATGGATGTGTCTATATGTATGTATTTGTGCGTAGCTGTATGCATGTGTGTATCTTTGTGCTTGTAGATGCATTCGTATGCATGTACGAATATACGCACACGATATACACGTCTACATGTGCACACATGCATCTATGTGCATGTATACATGCATGTGTCAATATCTGTGTATATATATATAGATGCTCATACGAATACATATTAATACCTATATACATTCATACATACACATTCATACATACACATACATACACACACATACATACACATATATACGTGTGTGTGTATGTTGTGTGACGATTGAAAACAGTGCCGCTCTCCTGACATTACAGCTTTGCCATGCGGATTGGAGCAGCTGCAGCAAGGGCTTTTACAGCAGGTGGTTTGTGCAATAGCGCTGCCGTCAGTGCAGCACAGCTTGGAGTCGGGGTGTTCTCTGTCAAAGAAGAAGGTGTTTATGGTAGGACTAGCGCGGCTGGCAGCGGCAGCTGCCGCTGCAGCAGCTGAGCCTCAGCTGTTGCACAAAATGCTGCAAACTATGGAGACTCTCCTTAGTGGGTATGACTTTGGAAGCGCAGGTGAGAGAAGAAGGGGGGTGTTTTTGAGCGTGCGGTTCGGCTGCTGCACACTGTTGCCTCTGTGCCATTTTTTTCGAAGATCCGCCCTACTGGCAAGGATCTGTTGCCTTTTGTTGCGGCTGCTGCAGCCACAGAACGAGCTGATCGCAGAGCTGCTGCTGGCACTGACTTTGATCCTGACGATGATGTGAGTTGGTCTCCAGCAACAACTGCCGCAGGCACTGCTGCTCTTTCAGGAGTCTCTGGTTGCAATTCTTCTGCCGCTTTCCCAGCAAAGACAGATAGACAGGGAGATATATATATGTAGAGATATATATATAGAGAGAGAGAGAGCGGGATATTTCGACAGTGAGAGCGAGAGAGAGAGGGAAAAACAGACATAGAGAGAGAAAGAGACTTCTACGGCACCAGCCACGCTGCCCCTTCCAAGAGAAACGCAGACAGGGAAAGCCTCTGCATCCCATCACGATGTTTCCCCACACATACATGTATGCATACATACACTTCCTTTTGCGCATGCATGCAGGCAGACGGGCAGGAGCAGCGGGTTGGCTTTGACGTCTCTTTCTCACGCCTCGCGCTGGCAGACAATGCAGCCATCACCGACTATGTAAGCTGGCTTGCTTGCTGTCTCTGTGTGTGTGTTTTCTTGCGATATACACATATGTGTGTGTGTGTATGTTTTCTTGCTATACACATATCTCTCTGTGTGTGTGTGTTCTTGCTATATACATATATCTGTGTGTGTGTATGTTTTCTTGCTACACACATATATCTCTCTGTGTGTATGTTTTCTTGCTATACACGTATATCTCTCTGTGTGTATGTTTTCTTGCGATATACACGTATATCTCTCTGTGTGTATGTGTGTGCTCTCTCGCTATATCTCTTTCTTTCACTATCCGGGTTGTTGCTATATATATATATATATGTATTAATATTCACATATGTATATCTCTGTCTTTCTATCACTGTGTGTAGCCGTCCCCCCCCCCCGCTTCTCGCTCCTCCCTTTCTTGGACATACGTAGCTCAGTAGCTGTGCGTTTCCGTCGGCATGCTTTTAGTCTGTTTTTTTCGCTCCTGGTGCGTTCTTGCGCATGTTTTGGGGGCAACTCTTAGCGCTTATGCCTATGGCCTTTCATCACTGGTGCCACCTCCCCCCCTCTATCTCCTCTGCTCTCCTTGGGCGTTGTTTTGATGCCTCAGCTTGGCGATATGGTGGATTTGCGAGAAGCGCTGCGCGCGTCGCTGCTTCCCTTGCTGCCTACGATCCAGCAGAGCGTAGCTGCTGCTGAAAAGCCGAACTCTGCACTGCTGCAGCTGCTAGCTTAGCGCATGCATGCAGCGGTTGCCACTTGGCTAGCAGCTGCAGCGTTTGCTGCACACTTAGGGCGGCCACATCAAGCGCGTGAGCAAGCCCAAGCAGCGCGCACGCGCGTCTCCTTCTCCCCCCTCCCTCTTTCCATTAAATTCCTCCCCCTCCGTCTGCAGAGGCGGCACGAGCAACATCTCAGGGGTATGTATCGAGGGAGCAATTGGGCGTGAAATCCACAACAGCGGGGGAGAAGGGGGGCGGGAAAGAAGAGGGGGAACACGCAGCATGTAGCATGCATGCAGTGCGCCGAAAAGAGGACGGCACAGACTATGCAGCAGCCCAAGTTAGAAGGGGACAGAGGCAATCGATGCTCCTAGCATTTCCGCCTTTAGGGCCTAAGGAAAGCGAAGCCATAAGATACAGACTAACTATAGGCGAAAGAGGGAGCTTCTGACTCAGAGCCTTCACTAGAGAGGAAGCAGGTGTTCGTCACACGAGGCGACATAGACTGCTGCGCGGCATCTTTATGCATGCGTAAAGACGAACTTCACACTGCTCATTTTTCTGCGAAGTGGCGGGGAGCAATCTCTACAGATTTACGCGACTGGGGTGCCCCGTGTGCGCCTTTAGTTTACAGCGAATCCGAAACTGCCGTCCTTTTTCACTCAACAAATCTGGTAGAGAGACGACAAACGATGTGCAGAGAAAACAAAATCCCCCTCTAATAAGAACGCGCCTCGCCGCTAAGCCACCGACCGCGACAAATTGGCTGCAACGTGCGGACCTGGTGAGAAACAGAGAGCCAGGTGTTTGAGTGATAGGAGAGGAGCAAGAAAAGAAGAGACCACCCCGAAGCGGCTCTTGAGAACCAGCTCATGCATGCATGCAAGCATTCAGAGCGGCAGGGGCAGTGTGCAGCACGCCGCTGCTCTCTGTCGGAAAAGCCGCATGTACACATAAATAAATATATATATAAATATATTTATATATTTGGCTGAGCTCCAAGTGAAGTGCTGTCAATTGCGCGCCTTTCTCTCAGACAGACGGCCTGCAAGCTCGAGCTGCTGCTCGCTTGCCTTTTCAGTCATCCTCATCATCTTCGCTCGAATCGTCTGAAGAGTCCATTCGCAGAGGCGGCTGTTGCTGCTGCTGCTGCATGTGGTGCTGTTGTTGCTGCCCCTGAGGCGAATCTGCGGATCTCGAGGCGTGTGGAGCAGCCGCTGCAACTTTCTTTCCCTTTTTGTTGCTCGAGAGCTTCTGCTTGACCTCTTCCTCGCTCGTGCTGTCTTCCGCAGCGGCTGAAACGGCTGCACCTGCGTTCGCTGCTGCACCTTCTTCCAGCTTAAGTTTCGCTGCGGTAGGACTGTCGCTCTTGCCTTCAGACTGCTGCCCTTGATGCCTCTTGGCATGCCCCTGCTGTTGCTGCTGCTGCTGCTGCTGCTGCTCCTGTTTTGTTCTCCCTCGCTTCTTCGGAGTAGGAACAGATGCAGACAACGCCCCTCCCGCATCTTCTGCCGCAGCGGCACTGCTCTCCTGCTGCTGCTGCTGCTGCTGTTGCTGCTGACCAGCAGCAGCAGCAGCAGCAACAACAGGAGTATTGGCGCCTGGCGCTGCTCGTGTTTTGAGGTTCGTGACGCTCTCGAAGGGCATGCGACAGCGCCCTAGCGGCAAAATCCATCCTAATTTGAGGCGCTTCAACGCCTCCGCAACGGCCTTTGAAGCCATAGCTGCGCAGCGCACGCAGATCCGCAACGGGGAGCATCACGTGCAAAGAACAAAACGGATTGCCGAGGCATGCGGCAGAGCGGACTGCCTGCAGCACCACGCGACAAAAACGTGCGAAACTCTGCAACCCCTTCTCCCCCCCGACTGGCTCCCTGCAGCAACACACTTTGTTTCTTGTGACCTAGTTGCAGTTCTCTGGCAAAAGCGTCCAACGAAAGGCGTTCGTAAACAATTAGGGGAACGCCTGCAAAGACGAGACACAGTCTGGCAGTCTCTCTGTCTCTCTCTCGGTGACTCGCACCCCAAGCGACAGCGGCTCCCCACAAGGAACGCGGCAACAGACAGAGACTCTGCCACCGTTGTGGCTGGATGAAGACGCCTCCCTCCCACTTCTCCCCCTCTCCCTCTTGCTAACGGAAAGCCTCGACGGACGAAGCAGCAGCAGCAGAAAAGAAACAGCACTGAGGCAGCAAGGCAGCAACAATGGCACCGTGACGAAAGCACAGGCAAAGCCCTCCTCACAGCGAGACGCAACGGGGGGGGGGGGAGGAGGGGGAAATCAGAGGAGACACTTCGCTATGTGCATATATGGCGCAGTTATTTTGCCACCAGATACGCAGCAGCACATGCGCGCGAAGGAGAGAGGGCTCCGTAAATAGCCTCCCCCAGGTGTCTAAAGGCTGCGAATACTTGGCAGTAGCCTCACCTCTTGGCCCTCTGCATACGGACGCTTTTACAGCCGACGTCGAGAGATCCGTTAGAAACACGGGGATGGGTGCTTCTTTCACGAGATTGCACAGACATGCCAAGACAAAGATGCGGCGCATAGTCACTGCCGACACCGTTGAGCAGTCCAAGCACAAGTCTACGACACAGACAGCCTCATCGAGCATCGTAAGCCCTCTGGACCGCAAAAAGCAACGCAAATGAAAAAAACGCGGATACATGCGACATATTGACACACTTATAATACGCAATATATACGTAATACATACGCAATACATACGTATACATAGAGCCATCCTAGGCATGCAGAGAACGCCACTCAGAGGCGCAAGGGAGCGACAGGGGGGAGGGAGGGGGGCGTTTCACAAAAGCCTTTGAAAGAGGAGCCACATGGTGGTCAAGCGTCTGCACTGCAGCCGAAGAAGCTGTTGGCTAGAAAGAACCGACGGCTTCGTCCCCCTTCCCTCTGCATGCGTCTTCAGGAGACTTGACAGCATTCTTTAGAAAGCCCCCTACTGTCAAAGGCACTGCGCTGATGCTTAGGTGCACTGTTGAAAGCACACCGAGTCGCCTCCCCATCCCCTGTCGTGAAAGATTCAAAAAAAGCATGCGAGGAGCAAGGCTGCCTGTACACTCATTCAAGACTTACGTGTGGAAGGGAACAAAGGCCCTTCCCTTAGCCTCCTTCACGACGCAGACATCCAAAGCTGCTGCAACAAGCCCAACATCCTTCACCTCCAGTCTAACGCCCAGAGGCGACACTACTGCCGAAGTCGTGCTGCTGCTAATGCTGCTGCTCTGCTGCTGCTGGCTGCTGTTGCTGCTGTTGCTGCTACACCCCTCTTCGTGCCACGGCACTGGGCAAAGTACAGCTCTGCAAGGCTCTTGCAGTACAGCGCCAAGCGCCTTTGCAATACGACGTCTATTCGCTGGTGACCACTTCGATCCCTGTATCCACACATATACATGTACAGACGCGCACGCAGCATGTGCATGCATGCAGCCACCATGTGTCCATACTACAAGCAGCACGTGCATGCACGCAGCCACACACGGACAGCCACGCAGCTTTCTACACACATGCAAGCATTCAAACACGCATGTGCTTGAAGAGCGGGCTTTCATGCTGCCTCCCATACGACTGTCTAGGAGGCTGCAACAGGAGCTAAAGGGAGTTCGCCGCTGCACTACGCTTCTACAGTGCCCTCAGACAGTCTTACAGGCTCCCATCCCCTGAACTTGATGTTTGGCCTTTCCTGTTGCTGTTGCTGTTGCTGTTGCTGCTGCTGCTCTGCTGCGCCGCTGGCTGCCGCACCTGCCGCTGCAGGCTCCTCTTCTGGACGTGACAGGATCTGCTGCGCCTCCCCAATGCCAATAGCCCACTGAAAAGCGGCAAATCGTCGAGTATCCTCAGCCAGCTCCTCCGCTGTAACGACACGGCACTGCGGCGCAGGCAGTCCGCTGCCGCTGCCGCAAAGGCTTACAGCAGCCTCCATTTTGAGGACGCGTAAAGGGCGAAAATTCGCCTTTTGTGCCTTTTTTTGCAGCTGCTGCCGTCCAGGCAGCGGCACGGACCGGTCCTGCAGCAAAAGCCACCACGACCAACACTGCTGCTGCTGCTACCGCAGTTGCTGCTCACGGCGCGGAAAGCTGCTCGAAGACACCCCCAAATCAGCAGGCATACGCATAAAAAGGCAAAAGGCGAGCAAATTTGTCGGAATCTTCGCAGATCAGATCTCGGCTGCATGCAGCGCGCAGCAATGGAGGAGCCGAGGTGAGAGGCGTGTTGCTGCAGTGTTGCGCTGCGCGTCTGCCCCGTTCGGCGAGGTGGCGGCTCTCCTTCCCCCCCGCTTCTGCGTAGCTGCTGCTGCTGTTATTGTTGCGGCATCAGCAGCCGGTTACAGCTAAATAAAAATAGGATAGTCTTATTTTAAAGGCACAGACACCTAGTAGGAGGGAGGGACCGACTCTTTATTTGTGCGCGGCCCCTCTCGCGGCAGGCAGGCAGGCAGGCAGGCAGCAACACAGCAGCAGCGCCGCTACGAGCTGCTGCCACCAAGGAGTCCAGCCCCATCCGCCAGCTGCTGATCATACTGCATGCAGCATGCTGCATGCAGTAGGCAGCATGATCGGCAAGAAACGGTGCATGTGGTCATCGTTTTCCAAGAGACGTCGCACGACGCACACCCGAATCACCTCACCGGGGGAGTGCTGCAGCACCCCAACGGCAACAACAACAGTGGCGACAGTAACAGCAACAACGCAACACTCTGCCCGCGTACTTCTGCATTTCACTGCTGTTGCTGCGATCTCAAGGGCAGCGGCTGCCGCGATGGGCTGCTGTGCTCTGTAGCAGGCTCGCCATCGAGGCTCCTCGCAGTGTACAGACACCTCGCGCGGCGTATACCTGCATGACTACTTCTGCTCCTACTGCCCGTGCAAGCACTCCGTACCACTCCACAAAAGCGAATTCGTAGAAATCGTGAAGAATCGCCCAACTGCAACAATGGTGGCAGCGTCTTGTGGTGACGAGGGAAAGGCCTTCAGCGTGTTGGAGGAGCTCCTCGCCAAGGAGGAATATGACAAAGCCTTCAAAACCTCCACACAACGTGAGCCCAGCCTTCGAGTCTCAGGCTCCATTGCACCATTCGAGAGTCCATCTAGCTGGCGATACACTGCCTGCCAAGCAGCGGCAGTAGTACACAGGTTTGTCACTCTGCATTTCTCCCCCGGAGTGGAACTGTTTTCTTGCGTGCAGTGCCGCTAAGTCTGAAGCAGACAGAGGCCCTTGTATTCTCAGCCCTGCAGACGGGCAGGTGGGAATCTGCTCGAGCTGCAATTCGCAGACTGCGACAGCAGCAGCAGCAAAAGGAGTCTTCCGGCGAGGATTCTGCTGCTGCTCATACACCCCCGCCTCTTGCCCTTGAGGAGGCGTACTGCCTTTACCGACTCAACAAACCGCAAAAGGCGCTCCAGCTGCTCGCAGAGCTGCAAAGACAGCCGCAGACGCACAACGCCATGGCCCTTACCCACCTCCATGCCCAAGTAGTAAGTTGAACTGCCAGTTTCAGTGCTGCTGCCTTACGTCGGCGCGATTGTGCAGCCTCCGAAAACGCATGCAGAGCGACACTTGAGGATCCATATATGCCTTGAAAAACCTGATGCTGCTCTACGTATGTCTGTAATGTATGTATGTGTATGTGTATTTGTATGTATGTATGTGCATGTGTGTGTGTATATATATATGTATACATATATGTCTATATATGTATGTGTATTTGTATGTGTATGTGTACATATATGCATGTGTATGTGTATATATATGCATGTGTATGTGTGTGTACATATATGTACACATATATATCTATATATATGTATGCGTATATATATGCATGTGTATGTATATATATATATGTATAAATATATAATGTATGTGTATACGTATGTTGTATGCAGCTGCATCGCTGCGGACGCTACCGCGAGGCGTTTGAGATATATGGACGACTCCTTTCGGAATCTGCGCATTCTGAGGCACGCTTGCGTTTGTTGCGTGTTGCTGCCAGCGCTGCTGCTGCCTCCCTTTTGGGTGTTTTGCATGCTGCTGCATTGAGCAGGGGGGCTGGTGATGCTGAGCGAGTATCTGTGTGGGGTGTTGTTGCCGCTCTTTTTCTGCAGGATTTGCTTGTCTCGAACTATCTTGCATCTGCAGCATGCATGCTTGAGTCGGAAGCTGCAATTGACGGCAGCAGCACGAGCAGCAGCAGTCTATCCTTCCCCCCTGCCGTGGTGGAAGCCTTGAGGGGAAACTGTGGCGGCAGCGACACCTTCGAGCTACCCTTCAACGCAGCGTGTCTGTACATGCAGCAGAAGAAGAGCGAAGCCGCAGCAGCGCTGCTGCAAAGGGCGTTGGGTAGGCTGCTAGGTGTACGTTCAGCTGCATTGGAGCGAATGATTCATGCGATTTGGGGGGTCAGAGGTGCTGCAAGTGGGAAGGCGCTAGGTGTATGTCCAGCTGTTTCGGCAGCAGTGGGGAGGTGGGGTTGCGTGTGACTGGTGTATTTCGTGATGGTGCGGTGTGGTGCGCTTGGCGATGGCGCCGCTGCTGCTGCTGCTGCTGCTCTTCGCTGTTTTCTCTTGCTGCAGATCTCTGTGCAGCGGAAGCTGGAGTCTCTCAAAGCGCAGCCTTGCAGCACTTAGATGAGGGGGAGTTAGCAGGTGTTTGGGTGCAGCATGGCGTGTTGCAGCAGCAGCAAGGCAACGCTGAAGCGGCAGAGGAGGTGTATGCTGCTGTGTTGGCAGTTCTCGAGCAGCAGCAGCAGCAACAGCAGCAGCAGGAGATTGATGTGGGAGTTGCAGCCGTAGCCGTCACGAATGCCTACGTCTTGTCGCTTGCACGGAGAGAGCTTCCAGATAAACAAGATCTGGAAGGGCTTATTCGACGAACCACTAAAGGCGCTACTGAAGCGTTAGACCACAAGCTCACCGTGCCGCAGGTACGAGTGTTTATATGCATTAAATATGTCTATATTTATATGTATTTGTGTATGTATGTTTATATGTATGTCTATATATATTTATACATACACATATATACACACATACATACACACATATATACACACACACGTATATATATACACACACACACGTATATTTACACATACACACACACGTATATTTACACATACACACACACACACGTATATATACACATACACACACACACACGTATATTTACACACACACACACACGTGTATGTACACATACACACTCACGTATATGTACACATACACACATACATATATACACACATACGCACACACACGTATATATACACATACACACACACGTATATATACACCTACACACACACACACGTATATATACACATACACACACACGTATACACATACACCTCGCGGAGGAGGCTGCTACAGCTGCAGCTCTCTGTATGCGCGTTAGAGGCGTTCCTGCAGCCGTCTCTCCGCTTCAGACTTCAGGAGTTGCTGCCTTGCGATTGCATTAGGCCTTGAAAATCGGCGTAAATCGGTGTCTTGGATTGCTGAGAAGCGGACGAGTAAGTCTTGCTCCTTTGTCAGCAGGGAAGAGGGGAAGGGGAAGAGGAGAAGATGGGCTGAGGCATTCCAAAAGACGAGGCAGGCAGGCTGCTCTTCTTCACAGACTTTGCGCGCTCTGCATGCTGCAGATTGAAGACTGTCGGCGCTTGACAGTGTCTCTTACCTCGCGCTTCGGAGGCTGTGCATCCCTCCAACGAATCAAAGCTGCCGTGCAGGTGAGATGGCCATTATAGTGTCAGTACACCTGCTGAAAAGGTTCAAGATGCTGCTGCTGCAACCAGCCTCTCTCTCTGGGTGCAGCAGTAGAAGCAGCATCCGTCTATACACTATTCTCCCTCCTCCTCCCCCATTTCTGTCTCTCTGTCTGTCTCTCGCACTCTCCCTGTCTCTGACTCTTTCTGTGTATATGACACTGTTTCTCTATCTCGACCTTTCGTAGCGGCTCCCGTGCAACGGCTCTCCTTTCTTCCGACAGCTCTATCTGTCTCTCAAAACTTTCCCTCTCCCCACCCCCTCCTGTGCTTGACGGCTGCTCCTCCGCTCACAGCGCCTTCCCCTAGACGCTTTCTTTCCTAGTCGTGGCTGCCTAGCTAGCCAGATGCTGTATGCGATTGCTCCCCGACGCTCTACATGGCATGCGCCGCAAATGCCTCTTTTTAAAGCCCTTCAAACGCAAAAAGACCTCTCTTTACCCCCTAATAAAATATCACCCCTGTAACACATTCCTCAAATGGTGATCCATATATATATATATATATATGTATGTATATATGTATGTCATGGCTGCCTACATTCAAGTGCTCCTAGTAGCTCAAGGATCTTGTGCATATACCCCTTTTTCAGCCTATCCTGGCACTGGGTACGTGCAGTCTCTTTCCAGCGTGTCGCTGTGTGTCTCTCTGGCTGCATGCACTTTCGTGTCTGTTATTCTGCCTTCGCACTCTCTTCTGCTCTGCCGAGTTGCTCTCTTGGGTTGCTTCTTTCTGTTGGAAACAATTTCCTTCCCACACGGGAGGGGAGGGCGACCTACGTTCTTGGCACGTGGATACGAGGTTGCCATCTTCGACCTTACATGACTTAGTTGACACACGAAGATCTCTCCCTCTCTCCTGCCTCCCTCCCAGCCCTTGTGTGTTCTCAATAAGGCTACGGCTGCATCGCTTTATTTCGGCGAATGCTGCATCTTTCTCTCTCTCTCCGCGAAAAGACGCTTTCAAAAGATACCCCTGTCCACTCCCCACGCTTTTCTCTCCGCGAGGCGTATACGGTTCTGTGCCGCCTCCTACTGCCTCGTGTTTTTTGCATTCTCCGTCTCACCTCGCTGCATTTCTGTGAAGTCTTCTGCAAAATTGCGCGTCTTCTCCTCAGCTCTGCGCGTGTCGCTTTCACAAGGCTGAGGAGACACTGCGAGACCTCCTGACAAGCCCATCGCTTGAACTTCCCGAAAACGCACCGCAGCGGCTGCAGCTGCAGGTGGCTTTGGCTGCGTTGCTGCTGCAGCAGGGAAATCGCAGCGGCTTTCTGTCGTTGCTGCGAGAGTTGCAGCAGCAACTGCTGCAGCTCTCGCAGCAGCAGAGCAGCGACAAGCGGTATCTCGCTCTCCTTGCTGCTGCCTCAGAGCTTCAACAACAGGCAGGAGACGTCGAAGGTGCCCTTGCATCCCTGGATCTCCAGCGCCGAGCCTTGGAGAATTCGCAGGTAAATCGTGCCATTTTTGTGCTGCATTGTGCGCTGTTTGATGCGGCTGCATCCAATGTCATGGCCTATGCGCTAGAAAAAGCAGTGCTGTGTCTGCATCTGCTGCTGTGTGAGGGGTTGGGTTGTTCTTGCTGCTCCTGCTGCTGCTGAAGAGATTTTGAATGAAATTAAGCGTTGCGGAGGCGACTGAAGCGCATGTGGCAGCTGCGATTACACCCCGTTTGGCGAGGCGAGTGCCTGCCTGGTGTCTAGATCGAAACGCCGCAGCCGCTGCAAGTGCTGCTGCCTTTGCACCGCTTGCTGCTGCTTGCGCTGCTGCTGCTGCTGCTGCTGCTGCTGTCGCAGCCGCGTGAGATCTGGCGCTCCATCCAACAAACGCGGCGGTTGCTGCTCCGACTGCCGCTGTTGCTGCTGTTGCTGCTGTTGCTGCTGCTGCTACATCGGAGGCAGCCGTTGCTGCTGCTGCGGCAGCGCGAGCTCCCGACAAGGCTCTGCCCGTTCTGACGGCTCGAGTTGCTGCTCCAACGGCTGTCGGCGTCGCTTTTTTGGCGTTTCTTCCCGCGACTGCAGCGGCCATTGCTGCTGCGCTTGTTGCTGCATCTGCCCGTTGCAAAGCTGCTGCTGCTCTACGGCTTAGATTCTCGTGATGGTGCCTCCACAGCAGCCACCGCTGCTGCTGTGGGGTGGTGGGTGCTAAGAGCCTCGTGCGCGGCTTCCGCTGCAGCGACTTCTTCTTCCTGCGCTGTCGCGGCTCTTCGCGGAGCAGCCCCCTGTGCATTTGCTGCAGCTACCAGTATTGCTGTTGCGCTGCAAAGGTTTCGCGCAGTGTTGCGGCTGCTGCACTGGCTGGGGGTTGCGGCGGCTCGATGCGTAGGAGGGAGTGTATCTTGGTTCTTGCCGTTGGCACGTCGTGTATTCCACGCGACTCCGTTGTGAAGCGGCGTCTGTGCGGCGACTGGCGTTTGCAGCCACTACCCTGCTGCATTGTGCTGCTGCGGGAGGGTGGGGTTGGTGTTTTTTCGCTGCCTCAGGGTTCTGCGAGCACTGCCGCCTACGTTGAACTGTCTCTGACGGCGGCAGCTCTCGCAGCCTCCCTTTCTCGTTGGGAAGTAGCTGCAGCGCAGAGCGAGACGGCTTTGCAGCGTCTGCAGCAGCAGCCTCACGGGGAAGCGGTGGGCGCAGCGGAGTTGCGGGCGACTCTCTCGCTGACGGAGGCGCTGACGCGAACAGATCTCAGCAAGGCAGAAGTCAACGTGCAGCGGCTCATGCGCTACCTGCCGCAATCCGTGAACCTCATAGACGGAGAGGAAGTTGAAATGCGGAGGCTTCCACCCACAACGCGAGGGCGTCGCTGTCCGCTCGCTACTCCAGGAGAGGCGGCTCAAGAGGGGGCTGGCAGCCACCTCGCTGAACGACGCAAAAGAAAGAAAAAAATTCGATACCCCAAAGGATGGGATCCTTCAAAGCCACAGCTGCCTCCGGATCCCGAACGCTGGAAGCCGAAACATGAACGGTATAATATCGCCCTCCACGCGGTGCTGCTGTCGCACGTGCTGGTGCTGCTGTAGCGCAGGCTTTTGGGGGGAAACATGTTCGTCTGCCCGCGCTGCTCTTATCGAGTTGGGGGAGGGTAGCGACATCCTGGAAGGGGAGGCTTCTTGCCATGAGGGGCGTGCTGCTGACTCGAAACAAGGCAACGGCGTAGCGGGTGTACGAACGAAGGCTTGCGGTCATACACCGCAGCACGGATATTGAATAGGTGCTGTCTACAGAGTTTTAGTTGCTCTCCCGCGAGCGAGACAGAGAATGTTCAAGGGTCGGCGGGAAGGGAGGGGGAGCGGCATCGGGAAAAACACCCCGAGCGGGGGGGCGGCGCTGGCAGGCAGGCGCTGGCGAGCAGCAGCACTTGTCTATGGTGGCTCGCTGTTATTTCTGAATTTCACATTGTTACAGGAGCGGATACAAGAAGATGCTCAGAAGAAGAAAGGAGTGTGGACGGGGAGGCGCGCAAGGCACCCTTGCACCAGGTATGGCAGCGTGTATGTAGGGGCAGCTAGCCGTCCCTCCCCTTCCAAGTCGCGTCTTCGCTTCCTTCTCCATTTTCTTGTGTGTATATTTCCATTGTCATGCTCGACTAATGACAAAACCTAGCCGATTTCTTCTTCTTTCTGCTCAGGAGCAGCAGAAGCAACTACTGGCTTCCGAGAAACCGGTCCTACGACCGCCAAAACCAAAGCGGCGACAGATGGCAGCACAGCAAGAACTCAGTATGTTTTTTGTTTCTTTGCTTGCTTTGAGCACTTTAAACAGATATCATGTGCATGTGTTTGCTGTTTTGCACGCTGTCATCAAACTCAAGCGCACCTGCGCATGTATTCTGACGTGGTTTTTGTGCGCGCGGCTGCTCAGAACACGTCGGAAGGGTGGGCGGCGTTGACGCCAAGGCATCTGTTTTCTTACCTGAGATCTACCTGTCAGATCCAGCAAAAGAGGATTAATAGTGACAAATGCGGTTGCTTTTATGCCGTATTACGGAACTTCGGCTTCAGAGTTACAATGCAAGCTGCGCACACAACTGTCGGACAGAGCGATAAGCACAGAACCGCAGCTGAACCCTGGACACACACCCACACACACGAACACAAACCCTTCACAAGAAAGCCAAGGCAATTCAGCATTTGCTGCCGCATTTATTGCCATTGTTGTATTCAATGGGAAGCGCACGAACGGAAGGTGTGCCACTGTAGCTTCCCGGACCCTAGATACACTTTGTGTCTTCACAGGACCAGAAACAGCAGTAAAATCTTCCTCTTATTTCCTCTCACATTCTGTCTAGAAAATCCAACATTCAAGCGCGAATAGGTATAGAGCACCTTGTCAGTGCGCGCTCATAGCGCCCCCTGAATCCCTCCGAACTCCCTGCGCTCTGTAACTTTTTCCCGACTTTCGAGCCGTTGCTGCACTACAGTTTTACGAGGGGCCCCTCGCAAACAAAAAGCGGACAGTGAGAAGAAGTGGAATGGGCTGCGCACAAACAAACTTCTTCCAAGTCGGAAGGAAGTTCGCAATCCACCGCCCTCTAAAGCCCTCAGCAGGAGGCAGAGCTTCGTGCCTTAGCCCACCAGGAAGGCAGGGAGATGCATGCGACCTCATTCCCAACTCCGGCAGCTGCAACACTCCATCTAAGGCCTCTGCAGTCGGACACCTCAATGTGAACAACACACGCCTCCTTTGACGCCAGTGAGTGCTCGTCGAAGAAGCTGACGACCTCCCCTTATTGCGGTCTCTAGAGTTCCCTGCATAAGGCGCAAAGGTACTGCTAGTCTGCGCTGCTCCGCGCATTTACAGTTAATTCCACGAACCCTCTAGCGCAAATGCAGGTACCTGGAATTGCAATACGTAGCCAAAACTACTCAAGAATTGACTACGTGGCCCGAGTCTTCGGGGAAGGACTGCGTGCTGAAGCACCCGCGGCTCGATAGAACTAGTACAGCGGGAAGTTTGTAAATGCAGTTTCGCCTGCTACATCTTTCCCCATTTGATAGCACAGGCCCCGCTGGTTCTTCGCCTGTTTGGCGAGCCCGCTGCACAGAGGCTGGAGGAGGAGTTCCCGCCGTAGGGTCACTCCCCAGGCAGGCAAAAGCCAAAAGAAACCAACTGAGATAGTTGTGCGTGCGCGGTTACCGCTAAAGAGGAATGCATGGGACTGAAGAGTCACACACTACCCCAAAACGAACGAGGGAGCAATCCAGCACGACCGCAGCGGCGCGAGGGCTCACTCTTTTGTGGCAGCGCTGATGTGTGTGGGCCTCCTGCTAGCAGAAGACGAAGGGAGAGCGATTGCATACTAACTACGGTAACAATTCTTGACCACCAGTGTGAGTTGTTTGGGAGGTAAAGTTTGGCCCGAGGTTGGTCCTTACGTGGCGCTCTGCTTTCTGTAGCTCCCTTCTCTGCGCCACAGCCTGCGTGGAATTCCCGTTTCTCTGACTCGCCTCCTTTGCACTCCAATAAGCTGCTTCCTCCTAGCCCAGTCGGTTTCCCACGTTTCTTTCTCTGGTCTTCTGCACGTGCTTGAAGCTTTGATTTTCTTGAAACCATGATCCACGGGAAAAGCAAGGCTTCTTATAGGGGACTCTCGAGGCTGCACAAGACAGCGGATTCCCCGTAGCAATTCTACTTAGCAGAGGCTGTAGGCTACTCCGATCGACGAATATTTAATCGACATGCCTCTAATCACCAGTTGGCTTTTGTTCTCAGCCAAAGACCGATGACGTTCCCTCACTTACCCCCTAATAAGCCTTAAGTAGTTCATCATTCATGCAAGCCTCAGCCGGCGGTTTTACAGTTGCTGAGTCGCTCCCCACGTTACGACCACTTGATGGATGACTTCACGGCCCCGTGAACAAAAACACTGGCAAAGCAGCTGTTCATGCATGTTATGACCGTTGCAAGCCACACTTCCGTAATTCTCAGAAGACCAATCTCTTGATAAATTTATTTGCCGCAGCGTCCTCAGTTCTCTCAATAAGCTTGGTGTTGGGCTGCTCTGGGTAGCACCCGATAACGGAGGGCTTGTTTGAAGGGCTGAACTGTAATAGTGCCTACAGAGAAATAACCTTTCCACATGAATATGCCCTAGCTGAAGTTGTTCCCCCTACAACAAACATGCCACAGTGAACACTGCTTTCTGTTCACCTGCAGGGCATTATGCCAAGTACGTCTTCAACCCACTGATGAAATCTTTATATGGAAATGGCCGTCCTGATGGCTCTCATACTTTTCTTGTCTGCACACCCTCGTTGACACGTTTGTAGGCAGTATATGGGCTGAAAAATCGTGCCGCTCTACAAGCTGTGGAGCTACTGGATTCGCATCAGCTTGCAGACCGTACCGGCCTCAGCTGCCTCAACAAGCGTATTGTGACCATCAACTTTATTTGCAAGAGAGATTTGTACACAGCCTGCTGCTGAAGGATTGGATTAGTGAATTTTTAAGTAATTTGCTCAAGAATAGCCAATCGTTCTAGGGAGACCTGCCAGCTCATTGCCTCCACAGCCAGTAGATGAGCAGGGAACGGCGGCGTTGAACGATGCGCTGCTACCAATCGCAACATTCTACATAAGCTCTCTGGAGGCAAGCCCGAACTCCTGAATGCATGCAACCTTTCCCAAAAAAGTTAGAGTGATCGCCTGCCTTCCCCTATACTCTCCTGTCGGAACCTCCCAAATAACAGAGAAGGACAGCTAGAGTGTGCATGGCTGCGTTCCTAGAGCAGTCCAAACATCTGCAGCTAGTCGCTCAATACCATCTAGCGCATCCGCATGCAAGACTGCGTCGTGTTTTAGTGAGCTCAAGGTTCCCCGCAGCACGTAAGCTATGTGCGTGGCCAAAGCGCATGGCTTTTTGCTAGTGCTTTGTTAGACATAGCTACTGAAATAAAAAGCGCATAAGTGAAGGAGCCCTATGGCTAGCTGTACTCCTGTGTTGAGCTGCATTCAGTCCACGCAAGCTCCAGATGGAATGTGGCAGCTTGCTAGCAAATCAAAGCAAAAAGCCGTAGCATAGCCACGAGCAGCTATTTTTTTCCCTCCCTCGTTTATCGGGGGTTGTTTGCCTTCGACTAACACCCCCCGAAGAATACGTGGGGAGGTCACTCCCCCCGCGACGAGACGCTGGTCCTAGAGTCTGGAGCGCAATGCGTGTATTGCGGGGGTAATAACGGCAAAATTACCGCTCAAATAGAGAAGTGTGTTTAAAGCTTGAAGACTTCAAGGATTTCAGGAAGGACAAGCGGTGGAATACGGGCAGAGGGTATGAGCACCAGCGTGTAGGCAGCAGCCGTCACCAGCTGCTGCCTACTGCAGCACCCAGCGCGGCGCCCCCCCGACTGTTTCGAGAGCTTTGCCTTGAAAAATCCAGCTGCCGTTTCGCACAGGTGCTTTTGATTGTCAAGCGAACGCAAACGGCATGAGAAGCAGCCGAAGGAGCAAGAGACTCTCTATGGACCGGTGGACTGGTCCGCGTGCAGATCGGCAGCGTAGGAGCGCTCTCAGCGACGACAGTCCCAGCAGCCGCGCGAACAGCAACGGCAACAGCCGGAAACTTTTCAAGGGTTTAAAATTAAGTCTCTTTACCGGTTCCGTCGTGTCAAAAGGCCCTGACTGCAAACAGTTAGCCTCTCCCTGCTGCAGCGCCTCGGCTTCTCGCTCAGCAGCAGCAGTACTGGCGGCAAGGGTCACTTCGTGTTGCGGCTTTCCATGTCAGGGTTGCTCGCTCGTGCATGGCTGTGCATATCAAGCAGGCCTTCTTCTGGCGTCTTTCAGTTTTATACTTCGCCGCGCGTCTAGCCATCGCAAAGCTGCTGCCTCCTCGTCTGCGCCTCCCAGCGCTCAGGCAGCAGCACCAAGGGCAATTCGAGCAATGCACTGCCCACCCTTCCGCTAGATTTTTCTGCCTCTTCAGTGTATCCAGTGCTGCGACGTTTCACAATGCTTGTGCCCAGAGAGCGCTCCGCCGTCGCTGCAGGCAAAGATGCTCCCCTTGGCGTCCGACCGCGTTCTTTCGTCCCCTGCCCCCCCCCCTCGCCTAAGCGGCTCCCGCAGCGGCAGCATCACCCTTATCAGCAGCATCACCCTTATCAGCAGCAGCATCACCCTTATCACCAGCATCACCACCATCTGCAGCAGCACTATCAGCAGCAGCAACAGCAGCGCGAGCTGCAGCGACGGCTCAGTCGCCGTGGTCAAGGCTTCTCTGCGAAACTCCTCCTAAGCGTTGCTTCCAAGCTGGTGCAACCCATCCTTCGCCTCCACTGGTGTCTCTTCCGCACAGCTCGCAGTCTGTGGCGAGCTGTCGTTTCCTCATGCAAGAAGGCCTCTTCGGCTTGCACTCGGCTCGCTCGACTCTCGGTGAGAAACTCTTCCTCGCTTGACGGGCGCTCTGTTCGCTTCCTCCGCCTCATCGGGCGACTCTGGGGAGTCTCTCCCTCCAAACTGCCTCTCCCACGCGTCAGGCAGCAGCAACAACGCCTCGCAACACTCTCAGATACGGCCACACTCTGCGCTGTGCCTGTCTCTCTTGCAGCAGGAGTCACCCTTCGTATCCCCCGCTGTCTCGCCAGTGAGCGCTGCAGGCAGAAAGCTCCACCGTCGGCATGACAAGTGCCAGTCCCCTCCGAAACTGCCGCCCAAGCAGTACATACACCTCACAAAACGCGGCGGAGAACCTCTATTCAGAAACACCCTCCACGGACCCCCAGGCTCCGCATGCGCTCCAATCTCAGCAGCAGATCCTCCTGCTGCTGCTACTGCCGACAGCAGCACATACAGCCGAGGCATGCTCAGCATCCTGATGACTGCTCTGTCATGTTCAGCGAGCAGCGCCGTGCGAACTCTTCGGCGCTCATTCTCCGCCTCCCTCTCCGTCCTCCAGTTTGCACCCGCTGCCGCTGCCGCTGCTGCTACTGCTGCCGCTGCTACTGCTGCTGCTGCAGCAACCGGAGATGCAGCAACCGGAGATGCAGCAACGGGAGATGCAGCAACGGGAGATGCAGCAGGAGGCCCTTCAGCAGACATTTGCCCTCAACCCTCGGCTCAAATTCTGAAACTGCAGAACGCTGGAGGCGCTGTGCGCTGTGCAGCAGCAGTGCCAGAGACAGTATTTCCCCCCCTCCCCCCCCTGGCAGCAAGAAATCCTCCCAAAGATGCTCCTCAAACAACGCTGCAGCAGCAGCAGCAAGGAGAAAGCCCCTTTGCTTCAAGAGCGGTGTGTGTTTCCAGGCTGCATGCCGCTGGTGCGTCGGCTGCGTCAGTGGGCGTGTCCAAGCGAAAGCGGCTCAGGCAGCAAAGAAAACATTGCGCTTCTCCCGAAAGCTTGCATGCAGTGCAGAAAAAGCCCCAGACGCAAGAGCAGCTGAGGCTGCCGCGCGCGAAAGAAGAAGCTCCGGAAGGTGCCGACGCTGCAGCAGCACCAGCCGCTGTAGAGACACCAAGGGGTGTAGTGACGGCACAGGCAGCAGCAGAAGCAGAGGCATTTGCAGAGCCAGCCGCTGCAGAGTGCGCAGCGGCTGTCACGACAGCGAGGAAGTCGTCAACTGCATCGCCAGGCTTCAAAAAAGGAGGGGTTGTTGCGCTCACAACTCCCGTAACACTTCCGACAGAGCCGCCCGTCTCCCCCACTGACAAACACGCCTCGAACCAATTGGAGCAGCAAGCCTCCTCCCTGCACGAGCAACAAGATGCATGCAACACGCAGGAACTGCCGCGAAGAAGCGCCCCCGAAAATTTCGTCTTCCAAAACTCCAAGTTGCGAAAAGCCTCTGGCATCAGCTACCTGCTCCATCCCCCCCCTCAGCAGCCTCCGCAGCCACAGCGGCAGCTGACAGACGGACTAGAGCAGACAGAATTGCGGCGTCTCTCTTGTTTCTCTCCAGAAAAGCAGGGGAAACAGCTGCACATACAGGTGCAGTCGGAGCCGCTGCAAAGGCTGCACCAGCTGCTGGTAGGGGCCCCTTGGAAACGCACGCCAAAAAACAATCCGAGCGAAGCAAATGAAAATCTCTGTTCTTCACTGTTTGAACAGACTCCGCATTCTCCACAGACAGCAGATGCAGCAGCTAAGGAAGCAGCTAATTCAGCAGCTGATGCAGCAGCTGATGCAGCAGCTGATGCAGCAGCTAAGGAAGCAGCTGATGCAGCAGCTAATTCAGCAGCTGATGCAGCAGCTGATGCAGCAGCAGGTGCAGCAGCTAAGGAAGCAGCTGATGCAGCAGCTGATGCAGCAGCTAAGGAAGCAGTTAATGGAGCAGCTATAATAGCAATAGCTGCTCCAGTAGTTTCTGCGAACAGCACTTTCAATCACGCTGAAATGCGCGTTCAAAAGGTTGCTGCTGTGGTCGACGTTGCAGCAGCAGCAGCGGCTGTCTCCTTAGGACTGCGCGTAGGCACTGACTTGCGTCTCTTTACAGCGGAGGCAGCAGCTAAGGAAGCAGCAGATCTCGCAGCAGCTGCTGCTGGAGCGGCGGTTTCTCCTGCCGCGTGTTGCAGCGCAGCAGGAGATGTCTGGAGGAAGGCGTCTATGGCTGGCAACGAAGGGGACGGCAGTCAACACGCCGCTGCTCTCCCTGGTGAGGCTTTCTCCGCGAAATCACGACATGCAGCAGCAGATCTTGCAGCAGCCCACGCGGCAGCTTCTCCTCCTGGAGCTTCAGCACTGGCAGCAGCAGGAGCTGCAGCAGGAGCAGCAGCAGCAGGAAATGCTCGGCTGGCAGCAGTCTCCCCTCTTTCTGCAGCACCAGGGAGACTTTCGCTTCCGGAAACACCGCAAAGCAGCCCCGAAAGAGGACGAGGCAGAAAGGCAGCAGATGGAATGCAAGAAAGCGATGCAGCAACAACATCAGCAGCAGCAGCAGTCTCTGCTCCTCCCGCTGCAGAGAGCAACTCTTTCCCGCCGAGGATGTCGGCACCCACAAGAGTTACACCCAATTCAAGGGCAAACAGAGACAGACGCAAGCCGATCCACGTCATGAAGCAACAGCAGCAAAAGCAGCAGCAAAAGCAGCAGCAACAGCAGCAGCAGGAGGAAGGGCTTGAATCGCGGCTTGCGCCTCAACGCTGCAGCCGCTGGAGCTCGACGCTGGCTGCTAAGCGTCAAGACGCGACTCCCTCTGACAGCTCAGCAGCCGTGTCGGCAGGCGATGTCGCGACTGGGAGAAAGCGGGAATTTCGCAGTGGAAAAAAGCCTGCGCTGCTGCGGCAGTCTCTCGTCGAGCAAGGCACCCCTGCACAAGCAGACAGCGGATGTGCAATTTGTGTTGGCGCTGATTTCTCCAAAGAGGCAGCTGCAGCTCAAAAAAAGAGCTTCAGAGCTGAAGAATACCACTGGCCATCTCTGGGAAGAGCCGTGACGGCGGGGAAGGGGCGTGGCTATTCCTCGGAGTGCGCTTGCATGCACTGTTAGGCGCTTTTGCTGATCCTCCCTGTATAAGTCTCGTGCTGGTGCTGTTGCTGTTGGCTGCTGCCAAGTCTCGTGCTGGTGCTGTTGCTGTTGGCTGCTGCCAAGTCTCGTGCTGGTGCTGTTGCTGGTGCTGTTGTTGTTGGCTGCTGCCAAGTCTCGTGCTGGTGCTGTTGCTGTTGGCTGCTGCCAAGTCTCGTGCTGCTGTTGCTGTTGCTGTTGGCTGCTGCCAAGTCTCGTGCTGCTGGTGCTGTTGCTGTTGGCTGCTGCTGGTAGAAGCGCTGCTGCTAAGTCTCGAGCTGTTGCTGTTGGTTGCTGTTGTTTGATGGTGCTTCTGCTTCTGCTTCCGCTGCTTCTGCTGCTTCTGCTGCCGCTGCTAAGTGTCTCTTCCATCTGCCGCTTCTGCTGCTGCTGCCGCTTCTTCTGCTGCTGCTGCTTCTGCTTTTGCTGCCGCTGCTAAGCGTCCCTTCCTTCTGCTGCTTCTGCTGCTGCCAAGTCTCCTGCTGCTTCTGCTTCTGCTCCTGCTGCTTCTGCTCCTGCTTTTTCTGCTGCTGCTGCCTAGCTCCGTCCGTGTGCGCACATGCATGCGCTTGCCGCTCCAATCGGCGTGCTGGACGGTACAAATTTTTTCTGCTGTCTCGTGCGATTTTTTCTGCAGACGCAGCAGCGGAACCACGACGCCAAGCTTGAAAAAGCAGGCAACAGAAGATCTCTCGGGGGGATTTTCTAGCGCAGGCAGCGTCAACACACTGCGCATGCAGCCTCCCACGGAGCACATGCACTGCACCTCTTCTCGCAGGCAGCAGTTTCACGTGTTGACGCGGAAGTGGCGGGAGAAGAGGAGAGGGGAAGCACATCCCCGTTCTGCGCAGAAGGAACAGACTTTCAGTCAGCAGCCTCTGCAGCTTCCCAGCATCGCCACCACTTTTCCTTCCAACTCTGCCTCGCGAGCTGCTGCAAGAAAGGAAGCCTTGCCAGCGCCACCATCCCCGTCTCCTCCTGAGGAGACAGCGCAGCTTCCTACACGTCTTCGCGAGGAGCCGACCGACCTAAGAGGCTGGAGTCGCTCGATCTCTTCCAACGCTCTTCCTCAAGCAGGCAGCGCAGCAGGGGATTGTTCGAGCGCCAGAAGCGCAGCTGCAGCGACTGCTGCCTTCCCCTCCTCTCCCCCCCCTTCTTCGCCGACGCTCTCTCGAGGGAGGAGCAGTCTGCAAAGGCGTCTACCAGCGCGTGAACAGTCGCATTGGATGCGCATGCGCTCCCCAGGCACCGACGGTAAGCGTCTGCGAGAGGCGTTTCTAAGCACAAACACATGGCTTTAAGGGTGATGATGGCAAAGGCAGTAAGGGGCTTAAACGAAGCCTTCTGCGCACAGACAGACAACGCGCCGTCTCCTCGCAAAGCCTCTTAGTCAGCGGCATGTGATTTCCAGCATAAGAACGGGAGGAAAGGGGAGAAGGGGCAGACACAGAGACAGGGAAGGAGGGAAGGGGGTTACCAGCTGCTGCTGCTGCTCCACGTACAGGCGCTCATCACTTCTTCTTCTTCTTTTCTTCTCTCTTCTTCTTCTTCTCTTTCTTCTTCTCTCTTCTGCCTTCTTCTTTTCTCCTCTTTCTTCTTCTCTCTTCTGCCTTCTTCTTTTCTCCTCTTTCTTCTTCTCTTCTCCTCTTCCTTCTTCTTCTTCTCTCTTCTGCCTTCTTCTTTTCTCTCTTTCTTCTTCTCTTCTCCCATTCCTCTTCTTCTCTCTTCTGCCTTCTTCTTTTCTCTCTTTCTTCTTCTTTTCTCCCATTCCTCTTCTTCTTTTCTCTTCTGCCTTCTTCTTTTCTCCTCTTTCTTCTTCTCTTCTTCTTCTCTCTTCTTCTTCTCTTCTCTTCCTTCTTCTTCTCTCTTCTTCCTTCTTCTTCTTCTCTTCTCTTTCTTCTTCTCTTCTCTTTCTTCTTCTTTTCTCCTCTGCCTTCTTCTTTTCTCTTCTGCCTTCTTCTCTTCCCCCATTCCTCTTCTTCTTTTCTCCTCTTTCTTCTTCTCTCCTCCCATTCCTCTTCTTCTTCTCTCCTCTTCCTTCTTCTTCTCTCCCCCCTTCCCTTCTTCTTCTTCTCCCCCCCCTTCTTCTTCTCCCCCCCTTTTTCTTCTTCTATCCCCCCTCCCTTCTTCTTCTACCCCTCCCTTCTTCTTCTACCCCTCTACTGCCATCCTCCATGTTCTTCCTCTACTCCCCTTCTACGTTTGCTGCAGGCGCATCGCCTTACTGGGCAAGTCAAGATCTGCAGTTCGGCAGTGCTTCCCTCCCCCCTTTGGAGTTTTCTTCACAGCTTTCCTGGAAGACAGATGGCGCAGCTGGAGGAAGGGAAGGAGGGAAGAGCAGTCATCTCTTGGCACGAAGCATCCGCAGTAGAGGACGGCGCTTCAGGAGTAGCAGAGAGGCCTCTTGGCTGCCGCCTCTCAGTACCCCTGCAAACGGCTGCACTACTGCCTATGCCATCGCTCTTCCCGCCACAGCGACAGCAGCAAGAGCAGCAGCAAGAGCAGCAGCAAGAGCAGCAGCTACAGCAGCAACAGCAGCAGCTACAGCAGCAAGAAGGCCTTTTGCAGCGTCAGCAGCAGGAAGAAGGCACTCGGGAGTCTTCACCAAAACAGCAGCAGACGTCTGGGGAACGCATTCGTACATAGACGGATCTGAGAAGCTGCAGCAGCAGTTTCTTCTTCAGCAGCAGCAGCATTACTTGGGAGAATTGAGGTCGTATATGCCCTCCGGAGCAGCAGCAGCAGCAGCTGCTGCTGCTGCTGCTGCTTCCTGCAGCATCATCAGCACCACCTACCCGGGGGGAGGTCCCTTGCCTCCTCCTGTTGGACTGCCGTTGTCAGCAAATTTCACGCATATTCATCATGAGGCTTCCTTCCAAAGGGGGGGGGAGCAAGCAGAAGCAATACGCCAGTCGCAGCCACAAAGAGTCTTGCCGGTAGAACTGCCCAGACAGAGCGCAGCAGCGCTTGTGCACAAGCAGCAGCAGTTTCAGCAGCAGCAGCAGTTTGTAGACGATGAAGACTCTGCGATACAAGACACCGAGTTGCTTATATCGTCTAGGGAGAAAGACCACCACCAACAGCAGCAGCAGTTTCAGCAGCAGCAGCAGTTTGTAGACGATGAAGACTCTGAGATACAAGACACCGAGTTGCTTATATCCTCTAGGGAGAAAAACCACCAGCAGCAGCAGCAGCAGTTTCAGCAGCAGCAGTTTCAGCAGCAGCAGTTTGTAGACGATGAAGACTTTGAGATGCAAGACACGGAGTTGCTTACATCGTCTAGGGAGAAAAACCACCACCAACAGCAGCAGCAGTTTCAGCAGCAGCAGCTTGTAGACGATGAAGACTCTGAGCTACAAGACACTGAGTTGCTTACATCCTCTAGGGAGAGAGACCACCAGCAGCAGCAGCAGCAGTTTCAGCAGCAGCAGTTTGTAGACGATGAAGACTCTGAGATACAAGACACCGAGTTGCTTATATCCTCTAGGGAGAAAAACCACCACCAACAGCAGCAGCAGTTTCAGCAGCAGCAGTTTGTAGACGATGAAGACTCTGAGATACAAGACACTGAGTTGCTTACATCCTCTAGGGAGAACGACCACCACCACCAGCAGCAGCAGTTTCAGCAGCAGCAGTTTGTAGACGATGAAGACTCTGAGCTACAAGACACTGAGTTGCTTACATCCTCTAGGGAGAAAGACCACCAGCAGCAGCAGCAGTTTCAGCAGCAGCAGTTTGTAGACGATGAAGACTCTGAGCTACAAGACACTAAGTTGCTTACATCCTCTAGGGAGAACGGCCAGCAGCAGCAGCAGCAGCAGTTTCAGCAGCAGCACCTCAGCGGCTTGTGTAGCCAAACGAGAACGACAGCAACGTCTTCGCGGCAGTCAGACAACTCTATAGCGCACGAAGAGAAGGTGACACACCAGAAGCTTGATAACTGCCGACAGCAACCCTCGCAACAGCAGCCGCAAACGTCTGCAGTGTCTGTCTCAGGGAGGCTTAGAGGCGAGCCAGCCGACGCGTGGCAGCAGCAGTTTCAGTTTCAGCAGTTCCAGCAGCTATCGCAACTTCAACAGGCGCAGCAGAATGCCGCAAAAGCGAGAGGCGAGAAGGCGAATACACAAGGAAAAGGGCGTGCCTCCATGGAAGTGCAGCAGCAACACCTCACGGAGGAGTCTCTGCTGCGAAGGGAGGACAAAAGCGAGGTTGAAGCGCAGCAGCAACAGCAGCAACAGCAGCAGCAGCAGCAGTCTCGTGAACTTCGCAACGCGCAAAAGGTACAGTATGCTCCTGCAGTGTCTGCGCAAGAGGAGCAGCAGCAGGAGTGTGACACTGCCTCTCCTAAAGAAGGGGAAGCTGCACACAAGCCTGAGCAACCCCACCACATGCAAAGTCGTAAGTTCAACCCTCCACAGAAGCCTCAGCGGTGTCTCTCAATTTGTTTGCAACCGCTTTTCGAAGGCACTCAGCCAGCAGTGACTGCGCGCGAACGAGTGCGACAGACGCTGCAACAAAGGCTGCAGCAGAAGGAAGGGGAGGGAGAAGAGGCGGCGCAACAGCAAACGAGGCCAAAGGAGGGTGTAGAGGCTCAGCAGCAGCAGCAGCAGCAGCAGCAGCAGCAGCAACAGCAGCAAAAACGGCAACAGGAGACTCCAGAGCAGCCGAAGAGGCCTCGCTGGGCAGATATGATGGATGATCCAGACAGCGAAATTTTTCATTTTTCCCTCTTGACAAGGCATCCTCAAGAAAAGAACGCGGGTTCGCACTTTTTCCTCCATTTGTGGCTGTTGCCGATGCACCGCCTTCCCTTCTAGGCCTAACTCTCTCGCCCTTGTAATGTCTGCTGAAACACAAATGCATATATATCTATGTATATATATATATATGTATATGTATATATATTTATGTATGTGTGTACATATATATATGTATATATATTTATGTATATATTTATATGTACATGTATATATATTTATATATGTATATATATTTATATATGTATATATATATTTATATATGTATGTATATATATGTATATACATGTATATGTATTTATGTATGTGTATATATATATAGATACGCGGCATTATGGCCGTGGGCATCTGCGGATCGGATTTCCCTTTTTGTTTTTTTCTGTGATTCTTACGCTACAGAAAGACGCCGCAGTTTGGTCAAGGCAGGTGCAGCGTCTGGTGTGCTTGGGCGTAGCAGCAGCAAGAGACATGCTTGCGAGCGATATCCATCTTCTCCTTCTCCTCCTCCAAATCCTTCCCCTGGTGAGCTCGAGTTGCATCCCGCCTGCCAAGCGACGTGCAGCCTCTCTTGAAACGAAGCGCGTAAGATCCTGAGGAAGTGCTGCCGTTTTCCGCGGAGCTGTCAAGGCATTGCACGCTTTATTTCCCGGCGACCATCGGGCTGCTGCTGCTCCTGCTGCTGCTGCGGCTTCTTCTTTTGCGCCGCTGTGCGCAGGCATTTCTGATGCTTTGACCAAAAGTCTTTAAGGACTGATGCTGGCTCTGCGGGAAGCTGCAGCGGAGCTGGGGGCAGCGCTGCAGCTGCATTCCTTCCCCCTTCTGTCTCTGACGACAGCCACATTCAGCATCCCGTTTACGAGGCTGCGCCGCAGCGGCTGCTTTTATTAAGTGCTTTTCCCTTGGCGGTTGCTGCTGCAGCAACGGCAGTCAGGAGGCTGAGGACCCCGCAGCAAAGCTGCAGCACCAAAGGCACACTTTTTAGCAGCTGCATGCAGCAGCGAAGGCTGCTGTGAGACTCTGTCGTTACTTGTATTTCTCTGGCGTTTAGCGGCAGGCAAGGGCGTTGCATGCTGCAAAAGCCTTGAGGCACCATCAGAAACAACTGGGATTCCCCCAGATCTCGACTGTCTCTGTGCTCTGCATGCGCGCTCCGCAATTTGTCTGCATGGCGTCTTCTATATTCCTATATCCTTTCCTGCCCTTCATGATTTGTGTCTGCTGAGGACGCTGCAACTGTTGTGCTTGCGGGTGCTGCTCGTCTCTGTTGATGATTTGCTGCTGCAAATGCTGCTGCAAATGCTGCTGCAAAAGCTGCTGCAAATGCTGCTGCAAATGCTGCTGCAAACGGTGCAGTCGCTCGCTGCCTTAGCCGGTGACAAGTCTTTGGGGCGGCCAGGGGAGCAGCAGACGGGGAATCTCGTTTTCCAATGCCTCCATTAGCAGACTGACTCTCCCTCTCTGCAGTGGAAGTGCCTCGAAGGTGCTCCGGTGTCTGCCGCATGGGCTTCCAGAGGCACCAAACTCCCTTCATTTTTGCTTTCTACCACTCGTGTTCTTACTCTCTTCTCCGCGCTGCATGGTTACCCCCCTGGAAGCGGCCTTCCTGCTGCATAAGTAGCCTTCCTTCTGCGCAACAAGTTCTCAATCCTTCCGTCTGAGTGCCTTCGCGCAGCTCCAGCGGTTCATGCGCCGCATTTCTCTTTCTCGCTTTGCCACTAAGGCCGTGTGCCTCTTGCCCCCACGATTTCCCGGTGTTAGTCCCTGTAGCGAGTAAATGAAACTGCACCACCCTCCTTTCAAGTCGACTCTCTTGCTGGCGAGCTGCCTCTCATTGCGTCTAGGCTTGCTAGTCGTGCGGGCTGCGGGGAAAGGGGGGACTGAAGAAAGGGGGTAGCGCTGCGGCTGCAGCAGCGCAACTTTTTTCGCAGCCACAGCGAGCACACAGGGGAAGCCTAGGAGCAGCAACAAACAGGGGGCACGCGGGGTGTACGTACAGAAGGCCGAGGTGCGCATAGACGGGGGGCAGAAGGGGGAAGGGAAAAGACACTGAGAAAGCGGAAGGGCTTGTGGCGGTAAGTAGCGACGCAAGAGGCTCGAGAGAGGCAATGCAAGTCTATTTTCCTGCTGCAGTGTCAGAAACCTCAAAGGAGCGGCAGCTGGCTCCCAAGAAGATCTTAAGCCCCCTCCCTTGTATGAATACACCCCGGCTCCCCTAGCCCGCTTGCTTGCGCGGGGGTTCTACAGGCGTCAGAGCTCTTCTACCTCCCCTCGCCAGGTTCGCAAAATATGTTTTAGTGGCTTTTTGTTCTCTGCTGCCGCGTTATTCGGGTGCGGAGGAGAAGCGAACTGACTCCAGATGCCAGCCAGGAGGTACCGTAGACGCAGGCGCTTTCGAGGCATCCAAAAGTAGTTTGCCGCTTGGAGGCCCTTGCAGCTAGCGCATGCGGATATCCCAATACACTCGGTGGTGCTAAGAGGCAGTCGGTGCTGCTCTGCACCAGGAGGCAGCTTGGGCAGCCAAAAGGTAGCCCGTCTTGCGCAACAAATGAATCATAACTTTGTGGTTTTTGAGGGGGAAGTCGCTAGTAGTGTGAGGAGTCACTTAAAGGCGGCAGCAGTCAGGCGCTCTCTATTATGAAGGCAAGGCTGCCTCTGCTAGGCGGGGCACTGGGCCTTACTAAGGGCCGCTGGCACTCCTAAGAAAGGTTATCAGCTCCTGGTAAAACCAGAAGGTGTTGATGCCAAAGGGATGTATCTAACTGCCAACGCGGAGCTACACAAGCGCCCTTGGTGTATTTGCACTTTGTCCTGGAGTGCCAATAATACACCTGGGGGCACTACACAGACCCCACATGCCGTCGCACCGTAGAAAAAAGGAAACATCAACAGACAGATACACAAGCGCGGCAGCAACAAGCCCTTACTCTGGCCCGTGCGCCGTCGCCGCTGCATCTGCCGTCGTAGCAGCAGGAACTGCAGGGGCTGCTGCAGCGCGTACTGCATGCATAGCTGCAACGGCGCCTGCTGTAACACCCATTGACTTCTTAAAGAGTGAAGAGCATGAAGAGGAGTGCCCCGACCAGCCTGCTTCCCAAAAAGACCGACTCTGAGGCCGTAGATAAAACACCCCAAGTCCTCTGACCATTGCTCTGCAAAATTTCGGATTCTTTCTCCGTATACCCACCCTGAGCTGCAGCAGCAGCAGTATCCCCACCGCGTTCCGCTCCAGCAAACCTAAGGTCGCGTTTGAATCTGTGCGAGAGACAGCTCGGAGTGTCTGTCCGCCGAAGCCACGGTCCCATAGATGAAAATACGTGGGCTTTGACCGCCTTGAGCTCTGTTTCTTCTTCCGCTTTCAAGGATCCCGTCATGAACGCACCTACAACCGTTCCATCGCGAACGGCCGATAATGCTTTTTCTCCTGTACAAAAATCACACATACACACATGCGTCCAGAGCCACCATACGCACATCTACACACACATGCTGCACGCACACATACGTATGCACCCGTGCACCTTCACCTCTACATACACACCCAAATGTATGCATCCACGCAGAAACGCATGCAGAAACGTACGTACACATGCCGGCACATACCAGCATTAAACATGGACGCAGAAGTACATGTGCATGCACGTCATCAACACACTCAAGTCCCCACATACATTAGCCTATGGGTGCATGCATGCATACACAAACACCTAGACGTCAGTCAACACGCGTCGTCAAGACGGCTGTGTGGCATAGGTGGGACTAAAGCGGAAGCCAAGGCTGCAGCGGCAGTTAGAGCGAAAGAGGCAGTTGCAAAGTGTCCAAAGGGTAGAATCCAGGAGAAGCGGTCCGAGGAAAGGAAGAGGAGGCGTTCCCCCAAACCATGGAAGATAACACACACGGGCTCACGCTAGCGGCCCCCTCTTCAGTGAGGCCTGCTTCATGAAGCTTTTTACAAGGCCCGCGTCCTTATTACAAGGCCCGCGTCCTTATTACAAGGCCCGCGTCCTTATTACAAGGCCCGCGTCCTTATTACAAGGCCCGCGTCCTTATTACAAGGCCCGCGTCCTTATTACAAGGCCCGCGTCCTTATTACAAG